GGGCGACAGAGTCAGACTCCAACTCAAAAAAAAAAAAAAAAATGGTATGGCAGCTTTGGGAAATAGTTGAGCAGTCCCTCAAACAGTCAACTAGAATTACCACATGACCCGGCCACGCCACTCCTAGGTATACACCGAAGACATACATTCATACAAAAACTTGTACACAAATGTCCATAGCAGCATGACACATTAAAGGTAAAGGTTGGAAACAATCCAAACGTTCACCCACTGATAAATGGATAAATAAAGGGCAGTCTATCCACACAGTGGATTATTATCCTGCCATATAAAAGGATGAAGTACTGAGATATGATACAACATGGATGAACCTTGAACACACTCTGCTTGGGGAAAGAGCAAGTCATGGAAGCCCACAAATGGTATGGCTCCATTTATATGAAATTTTCAGAATAAGTGAATCTGTAGACACAGAGATAGAGAGTGGATTAGCAGTTGCCTAGGACGGGGAGGTGGTGTGGGTAGATGGAAGTGGGAGTGATCATGAATGACCACAGGGTTTCTTCCTGGAGTGACATAAATGTTCTAAAATTAGATTGTGGTGATGGTTGCATACCTCTGTGAATATACTAAAAACCACCAAATCATATGCTTAATGGTGTATAGAAGGTGAATTATATCTCAATAAAGCTGTTTAAACAAAAAAGAGGGTGATTAATATGACTGTAAAAAGTTTTCAGCTTTTCTCAAGATAGTTGCACTGTAGGAATATGCTAAAACGGTAATGACATTCAGGTTAAAACAGTGTCAATCGTGTCACCTTTTATCACATTAGATTTGGCTCTGGATGGATGCTTAGAGATACTTTTTATTGTAAAATAATTCAAAGCAAAACACTTGGTAGGTTTCTTTTTCTTTTTCTTTTTTTTTTTTGAGTCAGAGTCTCACTCTGTCGCCCAGGCTGAAGTGCAGTCAGCGCAACCTCAATCTGCTGGACTCAGGCAATCCTTTCAACTCAGTCTTCCCAGTAGCTGGAACTACAGGTATGTGCCACCACATCCAGCTAATTTTTTGATTTATTGTAGAGACCAGGTCTCAACATGTTGCCCAGGCTGGTCTCGAACCCATGGGCTCAGAAAATTCTCTCACCTTCTCCTCCCAAAGTGCTGGGATTATCCGCGTGAGCCATTGTGCCCGGCCAGCAGGTCTCTTAAATCTAGTTTATTTCATTTAATATCATGTAAAGCATATCCAACTGTGATTTGTTTAATGCTCACGAGGACAGCTGATATCCAGTGCTGATAATTTAGGACTTTGGCCTTGGTCTTTGAATAAAACATTCAGGCTTGATTAAACTTTCATTGTATTGTGATGTTTGTTTTCTTTTAGGTGCATTGTGCTAATCAATCTCTCTCTCTCTTTAAAAGTTAGGCAAAAAAAGAGCTCAGCAGTGCTCTGGGGCAGGGAAGGTGTTCATGCAGCTCTGTGTCCCAGGCTCCCTCTGGCGCCCCCAAGCACAAGTATGTCACCTCCAGGTCAGCGGAGGAAAGTTGAGAATAATATCCTCAGGAAGACACAGCTACAGCCATTCCAGTTATTACAATGCAGAAAAATGTTTCTATTGATTGGTAAATAAGTGCTGTCCTGCCCCTGTCTCCACTGCTCCCACCATCTTCCCTCAGTGCCCCCTCGCCAGGAATTCCTCCCTCAGGACTCCCCTAAATCCTCCAATTAAAGAAGTATTGCCTGGCACAGAAGGAGCCTTCCAGACCCTGCTGCAGATGGTTGCTGTTCCGATTAGAGCCTGTGTTTAAAAGGTTGTTAAATACGAGGGGCAGGGCCCCCCAAAAAAGAGATTTATTACTTTAAAAATTTTGTATGTATTCTCACATATTTAAACTCATCACCTTCAAAGTACTCTCCACTTGGTGGAATGGAGATGGCTTTTCCACTGCTCAAAACAGTTCTTAAACTCATCAATTTCGATGCCCTTTAGTGCTACTGCCATTTTTTGTTTCACCTCTAACACATCAGCAAAACATTTCCCTTTGAGGACAGTTTTTCATCCAGGAAACAAACAAACAAACAAAAACTTGCTGGGGAGAGATCAAGTGAATAGGGAGGGTGGAGCGTGAGGGTCCTGTCATTTTTGGTCAAAAACTGCTGAACACTCAGCGTGGTGTGGGCAGGTGCGTTGCCATGGTGGAAGAACCAGTCATCTGTTTGCCACAGAAAAATTCACTGAAGCCAAACACAGCCTCTCACAACAATGCTAGCTGGTACAGTGATAGCTTGTTTTGGGTCAAAAACTGCTGAACGCTCAGCGTGGTGTGGGCAGGTATATTTTCATGGTGGAAGAACCAGCCACGTTTGCCACAAAAAAATTCACTGAAGTCAAATGCAGCGTCTCACAACAACGCTAGCTTGGTAATGTGATGCCAACAGGTTCCTAGAGCACTTACCTAGTGGAAGAAGCCTGCACCACAAGGGCCTGCCCTCTAAAAGATGATCCTGATTTTTTTGGATTCCCCCCTCATATCTTTTTTAAAACATATTAATCCCCCTCCCCCCAGCCACACACACAACCCTACGGCCTACTAGAATTGTCCCCACATAATACCTGATGCTGGGAACTTTCTCAGGTCCACTTTCCCTCTCCACATGTCCTTACTGGTATTGGCTCTGATGATCCCTCAGACTCTGGGCCCCAAGCTCACCTCGTTTAGTACCTTGACAAGATTCCTATCTTCTGCATGCCCTATGCTCTGACGGTTCTGTATCTGCTGTCACCAAATTTGACGGGAATTAGCCTTAGATTTACCCAAATGAGACAGGTGCAAAGGCACTGAAAAAGTGTGGACAGGTGTCTAAACTTGTGGTATTATGGATTTTCACATTTACTGGAAACCTAGTGATCTGACCTCAATCCACATTCACTTCTCACAGATAACTGACCCATCTCTATTCGTGAATGATTTGGTAAGCAGCCCGATTATCTAAGGAAATCTGTTTCAAGGCAGGGCATTCTTTCCCTTCCTTCTCATCTTGATCCTTATCTTCCTTCAACCCCCATGAGAGGACAGACCAAGTGGAGTCACAGCAGCAGCTGGTGTTCTGTGAAGACAGTCACTCACCTTAGCGTTCTGCACATCTTCTGTCACCAACAGGATCTGCAGGCCTTCCGGGGACACCAGGGTGGTCTGCTCCCGTGGTGTTTTTTCAGGCCTGGCTGCTGCTGGTGAACTGGGCAGGGCAGCTGTGTCAAGGAGGGAGCCTGTAAATATAGTTTTCACAGCTTCAGCAAAGGCCTTAGCAGTCTTCTCAGAAATATCCACCAGGTAGATCTGTTTCAAGCTGCGTCCATCCTGGTTATTCTGGAAGTTTTCCTTGATAGCCAAAACAATGGTCTCCACACACTGGCCTAAGGGAAAGCCAAAGATCCCGGAACTGATAGCTGGGATGGCTATGGATCTGTACTTGTATTTTTCAGCTAAAAGGAGACTTTGTTCCACAGCTTTCTTTAACAGTAACACACACTTCTGGGCTTTATCTCTCTCCCACCTGGGCCCCACTGCATGGATCACATGCCGGTATGGGAGCTTTCCTGCCTTCGAGATGGTGGCATTGCCGGGTAGCAGGCGGCCGTCTCTTTTCACTATCTGGTCACAGTCATCCTGGAGCTCAGGGCCAGCTGCTTTTGACAGCGCAGCGGCAAGGCCAGAGATCTGTCTGAGGTCCTCATTCGCCGCATTCACTACCACGTCGACGGGAAGCTGTGCTAAGTTGCCATGCTGCACAATCAGAGTGATGCCGGGGGCCAAGTTCACCTGACAGAGGTACTTCTGCCCCATGGTGATGCCTCCCTCCTTCTTTTCTACATTCTCCAGTAGTTCAATGAAACAACCAAACAACCGTCTGACTTCACTTTTATAAAAGCGTGATTTGTCCTGGAAGAACTGCCTGGCTCCTGGCTTGTCAATATGGACACTTTGGAAACAGACTGAATCCCTGATTTGCATGACAATGTTCATTCCCTTCAGTACTTCAGTCTTTGAGCCAGTTAGTAAAATGCCTTTTGGTTTGTTCTCAGGGTTGAAAGATACCTGTACAGTCACCGTTTTTATCTTTGCCCAGAATAGTTTCTTTTCTGCCCTTAAAAAATCAATAACTAAGGAAGGTTTTACTTCAATCAATCTCTCTATTTTCATGTGTTTTTCCATAAAGTCAAAAAGCAATCTATAGGTGTCATTTACTTCTCTCACAAGGCCAGCAATGATGACCTCAGCTGTGGATTCTGCAGTTAACTCATTGATGACTGCAATATTTAAGGAGGAAAGATGCTTCTTCTGTAAATTGCAAGCGAGCCCTTTCCATTTCTTGCCATTAAGAAGCTCTCTGTCCTCAACTGAAATGCGCTTATAATTTAATGCACTGAGCATTTGCTGTTCAGCTTCTAACAGGGTGTCAGAAGAAGAGCTGGTTAAGTGAACAGTTGTACCCTCTAACTCATAAAGTGCAAGAATTTTCTGTGCTGTAAAAAGATGTTTAGAAAATTCTTGACAGTTTACCTGTTGCAAAAACTGCAAAATCTCAGGAGAAATTGCAATTTTTTTCTGAGCCATGGTGTACACTTTTTCCTGGATTTCACACTTTGCTTTATACACATCTGTGCAGAGTCCTTTCAGGAACAAGCTTTGAGTGTCTCTATCATAAAAAATTTCCATGTCTGGGCACCCCATTCTCAGACGTTCAAGTAAATCGCTCTGCTGCAAAACAAAATACCTGCCTGGAGAAATAACCATTTTTTCTTTCAAACTTTGCTCTTCCCTTTTAATTTTTTGAGTGGTGCTTTTTATTAATTCCTTGATTTGTAGCTCAAAGTTTTGGACATCCTCTGATTTCCCTGCTAAGATGATCATCTCCTCAAGTGTATCAAACTCAATCAGAATCCCATCATCTTCTAAGTCATTTTTTATGGTGTCCCACACTGTTGGATCCACTTTAATTGGAGTAACTTTATATTTGGACCTGATGCCAGAGAGTGTTGTGGAAGTATCTTTCTGCCAGGTCTTGATTCTTTGTCTTCCTTGATTGACTAAAGTGGCTGCTGGTCTGATGGTAACTTTACCACTGAGTTGGGACCATGTAAGCTCGCAGTGACAATGTCTCATTTCATCATTTATCTCCTCAATCAGGTGACTCTTGTTCTGTAAGAACTTCCATAAGGGAAGATCCAATGACTCTTCAAATGGTGCTGGAAGCTTGATCAGAGGCTTCTCCTTTCCATACAAGGCTATGCCTAGCGAGGCATAGTATGGATATACAGAAAGTGGCATTTTATTGAAGTCAAGTTTTTTGGTCATGATGGTGTCTAACACTTGAAAGAAATAAAAATAAAGTGATCTCAGCATGATACATTGCAAATGAAAACAAAACAAAATGCTCCAATTCTAGAGAAAAAATCCTAATGTTTGTAGGATTTTGATGTTACAGCATATTAAAAAGCACTACTCCCAAAGTCCTCAACTATAAATGGATCTATATATGAGAATGCCAAAAAAATGTATATACATTTTAAGCATGACATTTTCTCAAAAGACGGTGTTAATCAAATGAATGCTAGTGTCACCATGTGACAGAACAGTTAATGAGAATGGCAGAAGCATGGTTGAGCAAATGTCATACTACACATTGTTACTGTAATTTAATTCAACTTTGAAAAGTAATACATAGATAACATCTCTTAAAATATGTATACCTTTTTTGACACCCCCCTGTATATTAACAGTGCACAGGTATCCCTTATTGAATGGAATAATTACTCTCTAGTCAAGATCAATTAATGTTGAAATCCTATTAATTAAATCTTATTTTCTGTTTTTCCATTATTACTGATAAATCACCAGGAAGTAGATGAATTTGGTCACAAGCATGGGGGTGATGTTTGCCCAGTATAAAAAATATTTTGGTGTTCAAAGTGAAGCTCCTCTAAGTATTATGCCATTTGTTCCTTCTTGTACAGTCCCACAATGTTAGTCTTCAAAGTTGACTTAGGTTCTATTAATACTTCTAGGAGGAGGGGCATAATAGTAAATTATTATAGCTTATAGTGTCAGACACTATTCTAAGTATATGTACATATATTAATTCATCTTATCTTTACAACAACCATTTGAGGAAGAGACACTATTATTGTTATCTCTATTTACAAAGAATAAGACTGAGACTAGGAAAGACTACGAAACTTGAATAGGGTTGCACAACCTGCAAATATCTGAGCTAAGATTCAGTGTCTGTCTAGCCCCAAAGCCCATCCTCTTGTCCCTCTACCAAACCTAAATCATCCTCACAGTCCTCTGAGAGCCCAGCCCCAGAGACAATGATTAAGACCCTCAACGCCTCCCATCCCTGCTACAATCTCCCTCCTGCCACATTCATTGGAAGAGTCCCTTGAGGGTATATGTTTGTGTGTGTACACGTGTGTATGTTACATGCTGTTCTCCTCATCCAAGGTTCTCCTCGTTTTGTACAACTTCTTATGCAGGTACAAGAGGCATCCACGGAAAGGGGATTAGAATAAATTCCAATAACAACTTGGAATTTGTGGAAGGTTATTACAAATAACTTCACCTGGTATGTGATTGGGCCCTATGACTGGCATCAGGCATGATGGAAAGAATGTGGTCTTCAAAGACCCAAACATGTAGCTTCAACTTCCCAGCATGGCCCTATGGTAGCTAGGAGTCCGGGCAGTACCAGTGACTACTAGCATGTACTGAGCACCATCATGAGGCAAGCGTTTTTCAGGTATTATCTCATTTCTTCCTCACAAAATTTCTCTAAGGTAAGTAGGAAGGCAAGCCCCTTTTTGCAGATGAGGAAACAGGCTTTGGTGGGTTAAAGTAACTTGCTGAAGATCACAAAGCTAGTAAGCACCAAATCAGGATTCAAACTCAGGTCTGTCGAACCCAAGAACCATCACAGATGTCACCTTAATATGCTTTAACGTCTCCATCCTGTTTCCTCATCAGTACAAACTAACTATATCTAACCATGCAGATTACTTAGAGGATTGTGAGACACTGTGGCAGAAAACAGAACAAAAGCTCTCACAGATAACAGATGTTCAGTAAGAATTTCCTTCCTTAAGAAATAAATCAGATTTTGCACAGTTTAACAGAATAATTTCAGAGTAAAGTGCCTATTAATTCCTCTCAAGTAATCTACAGAAAATAAAATATTGCTAAATAAATCTCTTTTTACTCAAGTTCTAGCTACTGCTTGCCTCATTATTGGTGTAACATCCTACAAGAAAAATCAACACTATAAGTGAACAGGAGATTTCGGAAAAAGAAAGAAGTCAAGGGTATGGATTATGGGCCCAGATTACCTAGCTTCAAATCCCAGCTCTGTTGCTCGCATGATCTTGGGCAAGTTATTCAACCTGTCTGTGCCTCAATTTCCTCACTTGTAAAACAGTGGTGATAACCAAGATGTCCACAAGGCAGTGTCTGCAAATGCACTTGGTAATACCCTGAGGAGCTATGCAAATATGAGTGGTAAGAAGGAGCCAGAGAGTAAACAAGAGAATCAGTATATCTCAGAATGTGGAGAACAGGGAATGAGTGAGTTTAGAGGAGGAGGTTGATCAACAAGGTCAGATGGTGCAAAGAGATCAGGGAAAAGGGGAACCCTTGAGGTGACCCACATAGTTTACATGAATAGCTCTGGCATAAAATAACCCTTCATTAAATAGTACTTCTGATTATTTGTTTATATGCAACACAGCCATGCTGAGGACACACCCAACAGTGCCACGCCCTCCAGATGTTTGAAAGCCCTGAAGCTGTCAACTCTCACCATAAACTGGGAGAGTTCCCTGGGCCCAAGACCAGGCCAAGGGAGATTTGAATATGTGACAGCGGTTCCTCTTTGTCTCTTTGCCCAAGGAATATTAGATCTTTCATTTCATTTTAATCCAAACCATACATTCACTCTCATTTTCCCAATGAAAACTGAGCTAGGAAAAGAGAGGTTCCACCAAGTACTCTGTTGAAACAATTGATCGCAATGGGTAGCATACCATATTATCCTGTGTCATGTCCCACCCTAATTAATCCCAGGCACAACGTTCCTTCTTTTCTAGGAAGTATGACCTCTTAATTCCTACTGTTCAGCCTTGACCTCTGAACGTGACTGGAATTTCCAAGTTGACTTTGCATATGCCTCAGAGAGCTAGCAGTCTGTGTCTCCAAAGCCCTCAGAAGTGTATCTCTAAGGTTTAGCGGGACATGTTTTCACAGGATCATTCCAATGATCCAGGAGGCATCCACTGATCAAGTGAAACCACCCCTATGAATTTTTGAGTGATTACAAAGATGGGTGAAAGGGGAAATACTGAAATGTATGTATTGCTATGTATTGTTAAGTAAAGTATTACTTTACTTAACTTTGTTGAAATTAATTTGAGAGTTACTATCAAGTGTGTGGCTAAAATATAGATTATGTCTTTTTCAATACAATATTTCAAAGGTTCCAGGAACAATATATATTTTATCCCATCATAGGTAGAGACTCATGAGAGAATCTCTTTATATCTTTCAAAAATTTGATGTTGCTTCTCTAAAGTTTGAATCACTGACCTCATTAAGCATCATATCCCAGATGAACAGGATTATTATTCAATTCCCAATGAGATAAATGGATAAATAAAAAAATGCATCAGAAGTAAGTTGAAAACTATTAAGCTCTGCTAAAAATGGCCTAGATTATGCAAAGTATGATAAACTAATAAATATTACCTTCTCTGTCAAAAAATTCAATCAGAGCGGAACTTTCTTCAGGAAAACATTCAACACTGGCAACTCTTCCTCCACGAGAAGGGTTTTCAAAGAAAAGTTGCAAATTGTAGTCATCAGCACCAGGTGGCAGGTTTTCAACCCTGATTATTTTGGTCACCTCCAGGAGTCTTGGAGAGAGCTGAAATTTTTTAATTGTATGGTACCTTGTGCAATCATCAACAAATCTTACAGCATCTACAAAGAAAGAACGAACCAGTAAATTATGATTAGATCTTTTTTGTTATACAGAAGAAATTGTCCAGCAATAATTGACTGAGATAGAAGGGGAGAGCTACGCACTCCATTTTTTTTTTTTTTTTTTGAGTTGGAGTCTCACTCTGTCGCCCAGACTGGAGTGCAGTGGCCGCTCCCGGCCACCGCAGCCTCGACCTGCTGAGCTCTGGCGATCCTTCCGCCTCAGCCTTCCAAGTAGCTGGAACTACAGGCACGCGCTACCACGCCCGGCCAATTTTTTTATTTATTGTAGAGATGAGGTCTCACCAAGTTGCCCAGGGGGATCTCGAACCCACGGGCTCAGGCAATTCACTCACCTCAGCCTCCCAAGGCGCGGGATTACAGGCTGAGCCACCGAGCCCGGCACACACTCCATTTTTAAACACAAGGTTTTAATACCCATGTGAGAATTTACGTGCCTAACTCCTGGTCTCTGGAGGACACACATATGAATGCCTTACTTAGATTACTACACTGAACTGTGGCTTACCTCCTGTCACAGCCCTCACCAACCCTCCTGAGTGGCTTTCCCTACAAATCTCCTCATCTTCAAGCCCTTCAATGACTCCCCACTACCTGCAGGTATGAGTTCACACTCCTTAGCCAGGCTTATGATGCCCTTGGCTATTTGATTCCAAACTAATTTCCAAGCATCACCTTTGGTGTCTCCCTGCTATTCATTTGATTTTCCATGTTGCCACAAAAAACAGTCTTTTTTTTTGTCTTTTGAAAACTCCCTTTTCTTTTGCCTTTGTATGTACAACTTCCTGTGTCTGGAATGTTCTTCTCCAGGGTTTTATCTTGGTCCTATTCTTCTTTCAAGACTCAGTCCAGGTGGGAGGATCGCTTGAACCCAGGAGCTTGAAGCTGTGGTGAGTTGTGATCGTGCCACTGCACTCCAGCATGGGCAACAGCGAGACCCCCAACTCAGAAAAAAAAGACTCATTCCCGACTGTCTCTTTCAAATCAATAAACACCAGTGGTGGACCCATGATGTACAAGGCACTGTGCTAGGATCTGGTGATGCAGAAATAAGTATAACAATGCTTTGCTAATTCTTTATCTAGGAGAGAGGACGTTTTGAGAACAAATAAATTTGTTGCCTATTGTGAGATCAAATGAAGTGGGAAGACATACTAGGAATCAGACAACGATTCCCAGAGTACATGGTCTCTGATCTGGATTTTGAAGGATGACAAGGGGTTTACCAGATGGATAATATAAAGAGACATGTGAGGCAGAGGGAATATATTCTGAATATGATTGATTGATAGTGCTGAAATATAAATGTCACAAGAACAACCTTGATTGTGTTCTTTCCTTCTATTTCTCATAGCTTATTGTTCACAGCTAAGAGACAGCTTCTCCTAGTGCACCTGCCTTATTCATTTACAAATGGACTTCCTCCCTGTCGCTAGACTATGAGTTCTTTAAGAGTTATGCTTTATTCATCTTTGTATCCACAGCACCTAGACCAGTGCCTGGTACATAATAACCCAGCCAACCTCATACAACTAGTTAAATGACAGAGTTAGAATTCTGACTCTGACCCTTAACCACTCCACTGCTTGGCCATGGAATAGTGAGGGGTCTGGAATTGGAAAATATCCTTGTTTTAGGTGAAGATGGCTCTTCCCAATCTCGGAGACTGCCCACAGACTCCTGACAATGACCTTAAGAGCACTCATTTTCTGCCTCCCATGCACTTCCTCATATCTACATATGTGAATGGCCATGAAAGGACTAAGGAAATGTGTGGTAAAGTAGGTGAGAGAACAGCCTGGAGAAGGGGGCTGCCTGGGTTCAAATCCAGATTGTCCATGTATTAGAACCTTTGTACCTCTGTCTCCTCAACTGCAACATGGGGGATAATAATAATGATATCATAAGGTTGTTGAAAGGAACAAATAGATTAATACCTGTAAAGAGCCTACCACAGTACCTGACTATGAGTCAGTAAGTACTGTCTGAGTTTTGTTATTATTATTACCTTCCAGTAAGTCCAGTTTGGTGACACAAATCAAATTTACTTACCCCTGTGAGATAATATTTGAAAATACTGACTTTTTTACTTGGAATTACCTTAATAACCTTAGACTTTAGATTTCTGTTTGTCTGTGTTTTCTCTCCCTCATTCTCTCGCTCTCATTCTCTCTCTCTCTCTCTCTCTCTCTTGCTCTCTCTCTCTCTCTCTCTCTCTCTCTCTCACACACACACACACACATACACACAGACTCATGCAATAAAGCTAATTCTATTAAACACACCAGAATTTGGTTTCCAAACTAATGTGCTTCTCTCTTTCAAAATAAAAAAAATCACATGGAGTCCTCTCTTACTGGCTACATGAAAGAGTCAAATTTTTCAAAGATGTACCATCAACGTGGTGTTCCAAGTGTGATGCAATGAAGACTGGCGAATGAAGTGTCATTTTATCTTACCTGTATGCTTTTGAAAGGTAACTACAGCGACTTCAAAATCTCGGATTATTTCCACTTGAAAATCATCACTGGACAGACCACTTATGTTCTCCACTAACCAGATTAATGCTATATCAGTTACATTTGCCTTGAGGTTTTCAAGTGCCACCAAAGAAGAAATATTTTCACGTTCTTTTGGGATATCTTCCATTTTTTCCGATGTATCATTAAGAGGGAGTTTTGTATTCAGTTCTTCTGACACATCTGATTTTAGGGAGACAAGTGGGGTACAAGATGTTATATTTATCTGTTATGTTCTTCACAAAGTAAGTTATCGTAAGACACTGCCTTCTTTCTTTCCCAAACTCTTGGCTAACTCACACAAAAACAAACCTTAGCTTTTGCTTTATTTAAATAAAAACAGGCTGGGCATGGTGGCTCATGCCTGTAATTCCAGCACTTTAGAAGGTTTAGGCAGGAGAATTGCTTGAGACCAGGAGTTCAAGACCAGCCTGGGCAACATAGTGAGACCTCATCTCTACAAAAGATAAATTAAAAACAAAACTAGTTGGGCGTGGTGGCATGTACCTAGAGTCTCAGTGACTCAGAAGACTGAGGCATAGCCGGGCTCAGTGGCTCAGCCTGTAATCCCACGCCTTTGGGAGGCTGAGGTGAATGGATTGCCTGAGCCTGCGGGT